ACTTGGATGATGAGAAATCCCCCACGGGCCCCTCACCCAGACTCACAAAATGAAGGCCAGGTAAATAAGGCGCAGGTGTTTATTTCTCAGCACACCCCCCTAAAGGAAAGGGGGCAGTAACGGACTTGGGGGAGGGGAAAGCCTCTGGGTTTGCAGAGCCCTGCGCACGAGGGGTCCTGAGCGGGGAGGGGAGAGTCAAAAGCAAATGCCCACTCTTCACCGTTTCTCACATACCATCGCCTCGGCTGCGTGATGTGTTTAAGAAAACCTACCACCACTTTTGCTCTCTTTACAAATAAAACCATTCCATTTCCTACAGATAAATGAGATTCACAATGATGCGTTATAGAAAACCAGGAATTTCAACTCATCTGCGTGATGTTCAGTTTTTCGGAACCAAATTGTGTTCCAAGGCAATAACATCATCCCTGGTTGCTCACCGTGGAAGGGAAAGAAACTAGGGATGGGGAGAATCCCCAGTACTTGAGAAACACAGCTCTGATTCCCACCAGAAGGAAACATGGCTTTGTTGCCAGGACAATGGAAGAGCCACGGGCAAGGGACTTTACACAGAAGGAGACTCTTATGCGCAGAAAGTCAGCCCTGAAAGCGGGCAGTAAAGGCTTGAGCAGAATACGACAAAAGGAGTGATTCAGAAGGCTTCTCACTAGTCTCTGAGGCAAAAGATGAGGTCTGGCTGGAGCCCCTTTGAGTGCTGTATCTTGTTCTTGAAAGAGAAAAGAAAAATGCCCTGATGTACCTGATCTCGCCCCTACAGGCTTAGGTCAACCCGAGTTCCCTCCCCTCCGCAGGGGCTGAGCATGGCTGATCTGTACCCACAGCTTCGGAACTGAAGGGTGAAACCTGCCATCACAGGCACAGGCTCACCTCACTCGCTGCAGAACATGAAAGGACGGTAGGAAAATCATCTCCAACATGAACTCTACTGTGGTTGTGTATCCTGAGAGTCGAGCAGATGTCTAGGAGGAGCCTCCCAAGGAAGGATGCTCCAACATGCAGGTAATCAGAGCCTCACCCACAGCACCAGTGAGTCTGTCGACACCTCTCTTTCTCTGGGCTTGGGTTTTGGAGAGAAAGACACTTCGGAAGATACAAGCTAATTTCACTGGTGGATAGATAAGCTGGTTCATTTAAAGGGACAGATTATTGGGGGAACTTGTGTGCAGACATTGCCAAGACGCAGGGATAATAATGCCCAGACAGAATGGAGGCATCCTGAAAAAAGAGAACGTCTCGATGAACTTTTCCATAAGTACACAGCTGTGCAACCACCTGGTTCAAGATACACAGAAGGCAGTGTGATCCTGTATGACGAGTGTGCTCAAAGATAACCATCCTTCTGACATTTACCACCATCGGTAAATTTTTTACCCTCCTGGACTTTATTTAAATGGAATCATATGACATCGACAGTTGTGTCTGGCTTCTGCCGTCCAAGGTTTGTGAAGGTCACTCATGTTATCATATGCATCATCAATAACTTCCTTGCTGTGTAGTATTCCACTGTATGAATAAACCCCCCAATTTTTATCCACTCTACTGTTGACAGAGATTTGCATTATTTCCAGTTCGGAAGTCAGATGTACAATACTAATGAACGTTCTTGTACATCTTTGACTATATTCTTGTCTTCTTTAACGTGGAAATTGAGACCTCAAAATTTACTAAGCTGTAGGACTGCAAAGCCAGCAATTCTCTGCACAACACCTCCCCACATCCAAGAAGGAGGCAAACAAAGACACTCGGATATTTTCTTAATCATCTCTCTTGTACTTTCTTGTATTTTTATTCTTAGGCGCTTCTGCTTTCGGGAAATTCCACTTTAAAAGTAGCTATTTTTTTTTGCCTTTGCCAGTCCATCTTTTCCAGCAAAAATCTGAAGCAAAAGGTAAGCACCCAATTTTTACCAAATTGATTCCTAAAATGAATCTACTTTCTATACCAACTTTTAACTCCTCTTCCGAAAGAACTAAACATGATCTATTCTACACCTTAAAAATACGCACACTTCCATCCATAAAAAATAATGCCATGGGGATCTGGGAGCAGGAAGATGGCTGAATTCCCTGTGTCCCCGGCCAGCCCCCAGCACAGCGTTTGCTTTAAAGATTAGAACATGATGTCGCATCAACTTCACCCATGTGGAATACCTCTCCACAGCCTAAGGTAAGGTGCGACAATGTCTCACCATTATTTACCTTCGTGAAGTTGAAGACTTGCCATTAAGTAATACGACAAATAGTTTTTTACTTCAAACGAGGAGGGAGGGGCTTCCCTGGTGGCGCAGTGGTTGAGAGTCCGCCTGCCGATGCAGGGGACATGGGTTCATGCCCCGGTCCGGGAAGATCCCACATGCCGCGGAGCGGCCTGGCGCGTGAGCCATGGCCGCTGAGCCTGCGCTCCGCAACGGGAGAGGCCACAACGGTGAGAGGCCCGCGTACCGCGGAAAAAAAAAAAAAAAAAAAAAAAGAGGGGTGATACCAATAATTTTAATAGACTCGTGTCTACTAGATCTATGAACAACTAAAATAGTCTTGATGATATGAAAAAGGACAATTAAATCCTCCTCTTCATATTAAGTGGGTTTTCTAACCTGCCAATTACAGCTTTCCATTTTCTTCCCAGGATTATGCATCATGTGGATCACAAACCCCACTGTCCCTGGAGCTTGCCAGCTTCACGCTGCCACCTGTGGCTCAGCTCTGTTCTCGGCATGCATTTATGCATTTATGTTTATCTGTTTTCACCCATGGTCCCTAAAAATTTAGTTTTCCATTACCACCAGCACAATTTCAGGATGCCCTGGCAGCTTCATTTACAGTGACATGTTCAAGAGATGGAAGACAGATTTCGATGTTATGCATTAGCAATAAAGCATGATTTACAGAAAGTTGCCCAGACCACTGGGAGAGATTATTGAGCCCACAGTGGCAACAGCCCATCCCCGGAGGATTACGTTGCAGGCATCCATGGCAACGATCCCTCTCACCTGGCATTGAATGTCCCCAAGTCCTGCACATCCCCAATATCAGTTCCCTTCCAGGCAGAACAGGGGTTACAGGTTTCCCGGCTGCTCACACATCACCTGGCAAATCTCTCCAGCCAGCCCCCCCAGCGCCACTGCCAGCCAGAGAAGTAAACAGGCTGAAAATGAGCCTTGAAGAATCTAGGTTAAGAAAGGATAATAAAGAGCACGGTGACAGAGTTTGGATCCACAGGTTCTGGAATCCCTTCCTGGGCATATCTGGATGCCAAGGATTGTAGAGTTGTATCCCAAAGAATGAGAGAAAAGGAGATTTCAGGATGCTTTTCTTGTGTAATGTCTGGAAACATCACCCCAAGCATCCATGTACAGACAAATAAAGAATTTCGTATAAAGTGAGTTATAAAGAACTGACACTATATAAAGCATGGAGCTAGGCTCAATTCAACTCAGTGAACAAGGACCCAGCAATGGCTGAGTCCCAGGCACAGGGCTGGTGCGTCAGGGATGAGCAGGCGGGGTGTGTGCACCAGCAACTGTGTCTGAAGAGGTGCTTGAGTGAAAGGACGTCACCAACTGTCCTCCCAATTCATTCCCCAGAGCCTGGCACTGCCCTCCGATCTACCATTTCTCTGACTTTTCTTGGGAAATATTAAGTCTAATGAACGTGGCTACTTTCAGGCATGTTCAAAGAGAATGAACTTCAAGCCCCAAGCCTGAGACAATTTAGGGAGCCAGGTGACCCGCAGCTAGCTGGCTGTCTCATCGCAGGCACGGCACCAGGTTCTGCCAGGAATTAGCAAAGCCCCTGGGGCCAGGTGCTTTGAGCTCAGAGGACCTACTCATAGGTGGATTTGGGGGGCAGCGGGTGTATCTCCTTGTGCCTCCCCAAGCGAGCTCCACTCTGGCCTGAAACTAACGCAGCAAGCGCTCTGGCCTGGCAGGTGGGTGGTGAGCGTCAGTGGAGGGGGAGGGTCTCGGTTAGGAGCAGCGGTGGCGCCGGCTCTGGAGTGTTCCTAAAGGTCAGCGGGCAACGGACGCCGCAGGCAGCCCCACTTGGGTCCCCAGGCCAGTCGCAACGACCCTGCCGGTCAGTCTCCACTTAAGGGGGTTTGACCCCGGGTTGGGCCCAAGGCAACGCGCCCCTGACCCTGGCCTTCACCGGGCAGCAATCCGCAGGTGAGGGGTCAGGCGCCTACCCCACGCGCTCCTGGATTTCAAAGCCCCGCTGGGCTGGGTCGGCCGGCACAGCAGGCGGCCATCGCGCGGGGTCCCCACCGGCCGCTCCCGGTAAAAACCTAGGGGGCCCCGCCCTCCAGCTGCTCCGGAGGCGGCTCCAGCTCCAGGGTAGGCTCAACAAGTTCCTGGGCCGCGCAGCGCCGCCTGCAGCCCAGAAACCCCGAGGACGCGCCGCGGTAGAGCCCGGCGCGCAGGCGGCAGCCGCCGGCGGCTCCTTCCACCTCCTCCCCGGGCTCGGGCGTCGGCGGGCGGGGGCTCCTGCACTCCCGCCCGCTCCGCTCCCTCGGGTCCCCCCACCCCACGCACGCGGCCCGGTCCGGCCCCGCGCCGCCCCGGCTCCCGCCCCTCGGGGCCCCGGGCTCCGCCCGCCTCAGTGCCAGCCGGGCGCACAGGCGGCGGGCGCGCGGCTCCGGCGCCCTGTCCTCCGGCCGCCCGGCTCGGCGGAGTAGCTGGGACCCGGGGGCGGCGGCAAGGGCTTCCCTCCCGCTGCCTCCCCGTCTCCGCCCCCGCCTCCCGGCCTCTGCTCCGAGATCTCGCCGGAGACAATCGCAGTAAATGAGGACATCGGAGGAGCACGGAGCCTGGTGGCTGTGGCTGCCTCCGCCGCGCCGCGAGCCAGCGAGCGCGCGGGCATCCCCGGAGCCGGCCAAGCCGCTGCCTCCCCGCGCGCGTCGCTGAGCCGGGCCGGAGGGACGCGAGCTGCGGCGCGGGGGCCGGCCGGGCGGGCCGGGCCGGCGGCCGTGGAGGGGGCGGGCGGCGGGCGCGCAGCCGGCCAAGTCTCCGGAGCCGAGCCTTCCTCCGCGCGAGCCCGGCGAGCCTCGCCGCGGATGCCCTGCCCTGAGTGCTGCGTGCCGCGCCAGGCTTGCCCGGGTCCGCGGTGAGACATGCCCGAGCCCAGCGCTGCACCGACCTCGACTTATCTGTAAGCAGCCGAAGGTAAGCGGAGCCACGCGCGCCCTCTTCCCGCGCCCCGGCGCCCGCTGCACTTGGCCGCGGGCAGAGCACCGCCGGGACGGGCGCCGACCCCGGCTCGGGAGCTCGCACTCGCCCCCGAACGGGCTTCGCCGGGGACTCGGCGGCTCCCGGGGCCGGGACGCGCCGGTGCAGCCGGGAGCGAACCCGGCGGCGGGCGGCGGGCGGCGGGCGGCGGGCTGCGGGCGGGGGCGGGAGGTTACGCAACTGCATCTGGCATGGCCGGGTCGCCGAGCGGCGTCAGGCAACTTTGGCGACGGCCGGGGAGGAGCGGGGCTGCGTGTCTGCGATGTCCGTTCTAGACAAACGCCACAGCCTCGTAAGCGCCCGACAGCCCGAGCCAGGCAGAACTGGGGGGATCAGGGGGCGGCCGTGGCCCCGGCAGATTTCGAGGTTTTTAAGTCTTTTCCAAACTAAAGCGAACTGGCAAGTACGACTGATTAACTTCGGGGGCAAAAGTCCGAGTGGAGGGGCCCTGGCGCCGGCCGCGATGGAGAGGCGTGGGCAGAGCGAAGGCAGCTGCCCACGTGAAATGCCCGTCTCCTCCCGTGGCGCCAGGGCTCGCTCGGGTTGGCACCTTCCCGGGGCTGCGGGCCGGGGTCGGCGCCCGCGGGACTTCCGGGGGCTCGGCATCCCGAGTCAGACCGGGACAGGCGTGGGAAACCAACCAAGGCTGCAGACCGGTCTAAGCAGGCTTGCTGGCGAACCAGGGCAGGAGGGAGGAGGGAGCCCGCGGGCCGGCCCGGGGCCGGGCAGCGCCTGGAGCCCAAAGTCAAGAGCGAGAGTCTGCGTCTTGCTGGTTCATGCTCAGGGTTCCCGGCCGGCATCTCCGTCGTCAGGAAAAAGAGCCTGTCCCCATGACCTCAGCATTCTCCTAGCCCAAAATATGCCACAGGGAGATGGAGCTAGCGATAAGGGGATGCCAGGAGTGGGGGAGGAGAGGCGCATCTGGTGTAAATCGGGGAGGACCGGGTGCGTCTGGCTCATCTACAGAGCGGGGCCCTGCGCCCTCTCCTGCTGCAGGTCTGTGCCGGAGGGCTGGACGCCCGGTCGGGCCGCTGAACCATGAGCTGCAGTGAAGCCGTTGAATTTGACCTTGTCTGCTTAGGCGCGTAAATTCTGCGGAAGCATCCCGAGGTGAAGTGGCCAAGAGAGGGAAGGAACTTTGGGCCAGCCCTGCCTTGGCTGGGAACCCACGCGATCATTTCACAGGACTACAGCTCAGACTAGGAGGGTCCAGGCCGGCGCGTTTGGAGGTTTTCCCTTGGATGAGCACTAACCAGGAGGTTCCCTTTCCATTTGCCGGGGGACGGGGAATGTCAAGGTTACCGGACTAGGGATTTGATTGAAAACTACCACCCAGATCACCTGACCTGGGCCATTCCTGACGAGTGGTACACGTATGAAAACGCTTTACCCTCATTAAGCTTATGCTACGGATCCAGCAGAAAGTATAACCATCATTTCCCTCTGCAGAGGCGTAAAGTGCCGGGTTTTACGATTCACATTGTGTGCTATTTATTACATTCATATCCTGTTGAATGTTACTTTTCAAAGAAAAGCTCATATTCATCTTTGCCATTTTTTTTTTTTGCCAGAATGATTAGCAAACGTGCTGTCAGCTCAAAGGAAAAATGGAAGTCCTGCCATCTGCATGCCTCACCAGATATTAATAATTCACTATCTATGTTTACTACTTACATTAGATGGCACTGCTACTCAGGATGGTTTTATTACAGGAGCATTTGGAGAAAAAAATGTCTAGCGCAGCTATCACTAATTGCATGATTTTGCATAAATTACGTTAGCTACAGAGGGTTTGAGCTTTTCTTCACGAAATTCATCATTTCCTTAAAGATAGGACGATTCAGTTTAATTTCTTAGCTAAAGGAGGGGCCTCTACTTAAAGATGGGTACCCTTGAAAAGCAGAGGTTACCTTTAAATTTACTATAGTTTATTATTGTGATTAAGGCATTAGCTTTTACTTAACTCAGGCCCATTATCCTATTGAGACACACAACCACTGGTGATGACATAGGTTAATCGAGCCAAGGCTGGAAAGCTTTTGAAAGCCTAGGGAAAGTTGGGTACTCTCTTAGTCTCTTGACTTTGGGGGCTTCTCTGTTCTGCCACATTTGTTTTCCCCACATGTAAGGTATTTCTTTTAGTTCTCCCTCTGTAGAGAAAAAAAAAATTAAGTAAATAAGTAAATTAATGAAAAGACTTGGGCGTGAAAGGCACTGGTCTACGGGGAAGATTCCTGCACAAGGAAATGAGAAGTCAGAAAATAAAAATGATTCTCAGAATGAAGAGTTGAATCCAGCAGAGCAGTTGGACAGATGTGTTCACTTAGCTCCACATTTGTATTCTCTTGTCTGCTGTCACCCACGGCTGTCTCATTTAGAGCTACAACAACTGAACTCTTGTATGAGAAGCAGATTACTTATGTGGGGGACAGGCTGCTTCTCCGTGATAAAGAAATCACAGCTACACTGCAAAGCGGCAGTCTTACGGGCCAGCATCAATTTAGGGGGGCAGTGACCGGGTCACCAGGACCAGCCCACCGGACCCCTGAGTAGGTGCACAGCAAGGCTGCTGCTTTAACCAATCAGAAGCTCGGGGAGCCACACCAATTATGCCTGCCTATTTAAGGCCAACCATGGTCATTTAGGGGCTATGGGGTCGCGATGATGCCCCAGACAAAACTGGCATTGTTATTTTAAACAGTTCCTTCATCACCAACTCCCTTAGCAACCTCTTCCCCTGAGTCCTTCATTCCCCAGCCAAGGAAATGAGCTGACATAATTTATGAAGCAGTTTCTTTTTAGTCTCCTCACATATTTGATTTTAATATTTCATTATGGAGTGACTGCAATACTTTAAAGCAAAATTTAGTATGACTGATATGACATGACAACGCTCTTATTACCAGGGTATTTGCATACAAACATTTGGATAAGTCTTTAATATCTGGGTTAACCTATAACATAAATGTAGAAAATCCTTATAACTTTTAATCAGTGTATATTTAAAGTCTATTTTTCTTATATATTAAGGACAGAGCACAGAGACTTAGTGCCACATTGTGGGGGCCCTGCTGGGATTCACAGGAAGAGGCTGCTTAGTATTTAACAGTAAGCCGTACAAATTACAAGCTTGAGCCTTTGGACCGTGTATGATAACGTATCTCTTTCAGGTCCAGAGACCCTGAAATGTCTCCAAGCACCCAAGAATCTGACCTCTCAGATCGACAAAAAACATAACTTGGAGACATTTCCGGGTTCCAAATTCAATTCCTGATATAAACTCTTTCAGACGCCCCCTCTACCATAGGGGTAGGTGCACAGCAATATCACCATAAGCCACTGTGACATTCAGTATGGGTATGAGTCATACGTACTTGAGACATCGTTCACACCACAGTGAATGAGTTGAGGGGCTCTAAGGTAGACAAAGATATTAATTATCAAGCGACAAATCGCTGATGTAAATAAAAACAGAACACTTTAACCTGATGGCTCTGTGTCTTTCTGCTGAGTGCATAGTCCCAGCTCTAGTTGGGAGAGAAAGAAAATTAACTCGACTACAGAAAAGCAGATATTAAGGACAAGAAAGACTTAGGTTTCTAAATTATAAACGTTTTGGCTAACACCATATTTCCAAGGAGTCTGGAAAGAACAGTCTTCAAATATATCATTGCGAATATTGCTTCTGTAGAGTATTGAACTGATTATTCAAAGTATTGTACATCCACAGACAAGGTCTCTTTACCATGTCATCTTGCTATTAGGAACTGGAGCAAAAAAGGACAAAAGAGACTCACGTTTACACACTGAACCTTCACCCGAGTTACTCTATTATGGCCAAGACACGGGTGAAGAAACTTTTTGAAAAATCACAACAGCATAGCAAAAGGCTAGTCAAAGTTTACATCGCAGTTACTGTAGAAACTTCCAATTCAATCCTTAATAATCTAGCCTCGGGCATAAAATGAAATAACTACAGCATATGAAAGACATGAGAAGGAGGATTTGGGATGCCAGAAATATTACAAGCAGCCCTGCAAATAAAAGTTACTCTCTCGCCTCACCAAGACTCCAGAGAGAAAAGGGCAGGAAAAGGAGGCTGATGGTCTGGGGGCCTCGTTTCAGCTGCTCAGTTAAGAAATCACCCTGGAGGTTCAGCATCTCCACTGTCAACGATAATGAAACTGACCAATCTTTGTCTGTGTTTCTAGGTCATCCCACCAGTGATGTGGGGCTCTGTAGTGGTTGTTCCCTAGGAAGTATCCAGTGTTTGTCAATTGCCTATCTCTTTAGTTTTTCTGTGTGTACTTAGTAGTTAGACTCAGAACACCTCATATGATCTGCATTTTGCTCCCTGGAAGCTGCTTGCTTTTGTAGTAAGTGATTTTAGCATCCTTGGAAATGTAATGGAACTATTAAACCTGGACTTGATAATGGGCAAGCACTGGAAAGGAGACTGATACACAGATGGCTTGGTCCAGAAAGGAAGGCTGGTTTGTGGAAATGTACCCGACAGTAGCAACAGTGGCCATGGCAATGTGTGAGGCGTTGCAAGATGAGTGAGAGGTCCTCAAGAAGTTCAAGGGCAGGAGGGTGAGAGGAGGTGGGAAGCAGGCTCAGGAGAGGACCAGCGGTGTGCTGTGAAGGTTCCCAGGCAGGAAAGGGTAATGTCCTGGCTGAGACAAGGGTTGAGGCTGGCCCCGTACACACAAATTCTGCAGCTTAAGCACAGCTGCCACATACTCAGAGCAAGAGACTTGTGTGGGAAGGGTTAGAAGTGACACTGGGGGGCTTCCCTGGTGGCACAGTGGTTGAGGGTCCGCCTGCCGATGCAGGGGACACGGGTTCGTGCCCCGGTCCGGGGGGATCCCGCATGCCGCGGAGCGGCTGGGCCCGTGGGCCGTGGCCGCTGGGCCTGCACGTCCGGAGCCTGTGCT